CTTATGACAGAATGTTTGAAATACCTGCTTCTCGTCTATCTGTTTCATACGAAAGGCATTCAATTATGATGTGTTTGATTGAGAGATCAGCATTTATTGTTTTAGACTATAAAATTAAGATTAGAGATTGGTCATTAAAAAATAAATAGTTGATAGTGGTTTTGGCAGTAAATTTGAAGATGATCAAAAAATAAAACGAAGCGTGGTGTAAAATACATAGATAGGTAATAGGTATAGTAACAGGGCTTTTTGAAATAATAAGAGTTCGTTATAAGCACTTTGTACAGGTTAAACATCATGTGTATGCTATGCCTATAAATTAGAATTTAATATCAACCTGCATATTGTAAATCGATATAAGTGCTTAACGGTACACTCACACAATCACACATGCATATTGCATATTATACACATACGAGTATACAATATCACACATATTTGAAACGTGGATATTGTAAGATTTTTTATTAACTCAGAAAAAATAATATGATACGGAAAACAAATTATACTTGCTATTTAATTTTCAATTGTTAAAAAAAACAGTAATTTAATAAAACTTTGATTTTAGTTATTTTAATGTATTATTTATGCATATTTAAAACTATAAAAATAAAACTGTAAAAAAAAAAATTTGAAAAATACCGGCAGTTATACAAAGCAAATTTTGTTGGTTTTATGTTACAAGCAAATAATATGACAAAGCTTTTAGTTTTTAACTTAGTTATAAACCAAAACAATTATTATGACTATTCATAGTAGTAAGTAATAATATAATATGTACAATGTACATTTACTAACTATATAAAAATGTAGAAAAATTATTGTTTATGAAACATAAGTACTTCAAAGTCACAAACGAAAATTCAATTTTTTTTGTTAACTTGTCCAGTTGTTCACCTTTGTATAATAATCGATTAAACAATACATAATTTATTAAAAAGTTTGAACCATTTTGCGTTCCAAGTATTTCTATACCTATACTATATTATAACAAATTTGAAATTTCAATAAAAAGTTTTAAAATGTACTCAATAAAAATAATGTAGTTTATTTAACTCCAAAAAAAGTTGTTAAATATCTATTAGTCGAATCAACTGCATAACCTATTTACCATTAGGTGTTCAATAACAATAAAACGTTGACTAAAGTACATAAAGTTAAGAAAGATTCATAACAACTCCCAAAATTAGTTAAATTAGGGAGTTTAGGTATTCAATACAGTACCAGAAGCTAAATTGACAAAGTAGAAAATGTTTTTTTAGAACACAAAATCATTTAATTTAAAACAAATGCAGTTTTTACTTCAAAATAACGTTAAAATTACCCTTTTGGAGTGATATTTTTGGTAGCTTAAATTTTGACTAATAATAAAACATATACATATTATATTTGGATCATAGATAATCGGTCCATCTCTCTTCTCTAAAAATAAACCACGACTCCATACGTAATTGGTATAGGCTTGTCATATCCATTATTTTACTATTTACGATTGAGGTGGTATCACTAAATATTGTTAGTTTAATAGTTACCTATTACGCAATAACAATGTACCCATGTGATATTTTCAAACAAGAAATACCACAACAACTCATATTCTTGTACCTAACTATACACCATATACTTGCTATACAAAGTGAACGATTTTACCATTTCAAAAGACATAATATCTAGCATATTTTTGAATAAGATGGCCATTATTCTTTCATACAAACTATTTCGTATTATATTGTTTAAAACCATTAAAAAAATTTAGTGTTACAAATTAAACTTCAATTATTTACATTTTATTTTAGATTCTGAGCGTAGCAATGCATGAAATGATTTTTCAATGATGTGTGGTTTTTTATTTGTAGTGTGTAGACACATTTCTTTGTAGAAATATTGATCTGATCAACAACTTTGATCTAAGTTTTTGTAGAAAATTGGAGGTACTTTTATAAAGTCAAAATTGAAAATTCTTTGTACTTTTTAAAATAATCGGGAAAAACTTAGAAAAGAATCTACTAACATTTTTTAAAATTGTAAAATGTATTGTTTATTTATTTAACGGACAATTGTCCAGTTTCAAATACAGTAATAATAATAATAAATAATAATAAATAGGTAATAATAGTTAATATAAGTTATTAAGAATATTGAGAATATTACTATAATTGTTTGGTAACCTCGATTACCAAAAAGTTAGACCATCCAAAGCTCACAATCGTTTTCATCATATGCAATGATTTATTAGGTATTGAATTCAAATTTAACCCGTCATCCATTACAGTGCCTACTCAATTACGAGGCGCGCTCGACCCCTACTGTACCTACATCAGAGCGGTTACCTACTTTCCCCCATTTTACAACCATTTCCCCAGTGTAAAAAATAATTTATTTCTCATTGTAAATCGCAAACTTGTAATTGAGTAAGGCACCTATATGATATTGTTTGTTTTCTGTAATAAGTAAATACAACTTTTTTCAAGTTTTTTTTGAAACAAAACATCTATTTTTATATTTTAGTAGCGTGTACACTGTACACTGCACATATATTACATCGTTTTAAAGAAGTTTCTCGTTTGTTTGTTCTGTACATTGTTATAAGTAATTAAAAACAAATATAATATAGTTAAATACAAAACGAAAAATACTTTCGATAAGTTATTTAAGATATAAATATAATAGATAATTTGTTTTAGCATCAAATGTCTCATTTAGAAATTAATAAACTGAATAAGTATAAACAATTAGACTCTCAGTAGAAGTAGGTATGTGTATATTCAACTATTTAAAAACAATATGTATAATGATAGAAGGTACTATTATTTGTATTATACTTGAAATATTAATACTTAATATAATTACCTTCACGTATTAATTTATGGTAGTGACTAAATTATAAAAGTACTGATATAAATATATAATAAAATAAATAAGAAATAGTTCTTTGATTATAACTTTACTACTGAAAATAACTGAACTAAAAAATTATCTAGTAATTACATTAAACTGTTGATAAATAACGTCGGTCTTTCTATATTTAACAATTTTTGTATCGAAGTTTAAAGTAGTATAGTTTCTATATAGTTTGATTAGATAAAGAATGGATATAATATACAAATTTAAAATAATAAGATTAATTGATAAAGTTCTTGAATAATTTATTTTAGTATACTTTCATGAATAATAGTAAAAAACTTAAATTGATTACAAGTTATACCATGATCTAATGTGAATCGAATAAACAATGAAAAATAAATGTATAAATCTTAATTATGGTCTTTTAATTATTTTACACGATTAGTTTTGAAATACTACTGGAGTAAAAGATTGATCAAAACTACATAAGCATAATTTATTAAATTATAGTAATATAATATGGTGTACAACGTGGGGAATTAAATATTTAAACTATTATAAACATAAAGAAAAAACATATATTGCAAAATAAACTTATGTTTTCATACATAAAAAGCTTTACGAGTGCAAATTCGTGTTCTCGTAAAAATTTCATAGTTTACATTTCAACAAATTTAAATTATTTTGTGAAAGCCCACACATAACGACTTAACATATTTATAGATTCCTAGTAAAACATGTTAGTTTTTACAGCAAAATGCGTTTAATGAAGTAGTATACAGTATTGTGTAATGTAATAATGTGTTTAATAGTGTTTATAGTAAAATAATTTATCAAGTCATAATAATGTAGGTACCTATATAAATATATATTGTGCTTATTACATTATATAGATCCAAAGTATCAAATTTAATTAAGTTAAAACATTTGGATTTCAGAATTCTTAATAAAAACCAAGAAAAATTATATAAATAATTTGAATAATTTAAGTTATAAGTTGGTTCACTGGTAGTCACGTTATTCTTAGTAAGAATCAATAATATGTGTAACGCACAGGAATTACAAATATACTTCAGTGATGACGAAACAATTAAATTAATAGAACGTAGGTAGTTAAATTCACGTTTCTGGATGTACTACACCTTTGTCCTTTAAGACGTTTACAATATAAATGAGCCACATCAATTCTAAAAGAAGTTTCCTAGTGTAAAATCTAATTTTGAAATCGGGCTAACAGAACTCTTAACTTCGGGAACCATATAGCAAGTGAATTAATTATTTCAATTCAGTTGTAGGCCCCTCAGCTGTTCCATTTTTATCTCATACCCTATAGGGATAACAGTAATCTACAAGGAAGACATTTTTGAGATAATTGGGTTTCAGTTTTTAGTTTAATTTACCGCATACATAAATTTTAAGTGGTGAATTTTCACAGACCCATTCGTTTAAGTACTGCAGCATAAACACAGTATCCACAATTGTGAGACGCGCTATAGTGAGTCAACGAAACCTAGTGAGAAAAAACATATTTTTTATTGTAAAAATAAAATAGATAGAAATAAAGTATTATGCGCAATTGTGTGCGTGTCCCTAAAGGAAAATATTGGTCCCAGGACCTTAAATATCTTAATCCGTCCTATAGACTCAAGTAGACTATAAGTAATATATATTAAACATTTAATAACTTTAAAAAAAACTATGTAGGTACGATATAACAATTAAAGTTATATGTAGGTACTTATAAAAACACAGCTATGCCATAATAATATAACAAAACGCCCCAAAGAAATCGACGAGTTTCTTGAATAGTATACATATTATGATGATATCGACTCTCATTTCCCCGGGGGGAACATTCATACATAGAAGAAAAACCAAAAAATATATATAAATATACATAAAAAAATATATACATAAAATTATATATTAGGCAGTTGTATACACAACGTATACAGCAGCCCCGCCAGGCCGATCCAAACTTTACAGCAGCCAATAACAACTACCTACCCATGTAATTATAACATTATAACAATAACAGCAATAAATTGAACGGGTAAAACTATAGAGCAGAAAATATATTTACTCTGGCGTTAATATAGGATTATCAGTTATTACAGTGAATATTCAATATTATGGCATTATGCAACCACTCTAACCTGTGTGGTGTGGCGATGGTGAGCCGTAACGGCGATAGCAGTCGTTGATTACTAGCGGCGGTGGCATCCCTGCGCATCCGCCGGTGCTGTTCCAACAAGCCGTCCCGGTCGTATTCCGCAGGCGTATAGTGCTTTATGAAATGGTTGAGCGTCGGTAATTTCCCTGAAAAAACAATACGAAAGTTTAGGAACGTAAATACAAAATACAATATCGACATAATATTATTATAAGACAAAATGCACATGATTTTTTACGATAATATTTCAATATCAGCCTTCAGATTCATATAAAAATTAACAATAATTGCACACAATGATAATAAAACATCACAATACTATTATAGTATTACCTGGATATCGTAATGTAAGAGTTTTATATGCGTGACGCACGCATGCTCATACGGACACACTACAGACATTGTATAACATACATACTATAATTCCAAGTATCTTCAGGAATATTATTATGTTATCACTTATCACATTCAACATTTTGACTACAGTTCATTTTTTTTTTTTTTTGATAAAAGAAAGTTTTAATTATCTACACAACTTTTGCCCATATTCAATAAATTCTTCAGTGTTGGTAAAAAACTTGTTAAAAAAAATGCATCTTGTTTTTTAAGTATAATATACATTTTTAAATATAGTCCAACTATGTTAACAGATTTTTTTTAAATTCTTTGTTTCTATTGAAAAATGACCACTTTTCACATGGAGGGTATTTCACACCAAACGACAAGATATTAAATATCGTAGTATTTATGCTACAATACCTTATCGTAAGAAAATGTAAAAATGTATTGTTTAAAAATATTTTTAAATGTCTTATATTTTCCGATTAATGATAAAAAAATTACTTTGCAGAGTGCACACTACATGTAGTCTGTATGTATGTTATATTATTATATACACCACAATATACGGAACACAAGCAATACAGTAACAGCAGTACTAGTGGCGATGAGAAGAATTGTATGTATAGTGTATACATTATACATATTACCACCCCTCGCAACGAGCACACTATTATCGGGTGATTCACATTGTGGTGGTAGTTGTGGCGGTGGTAGTGGATGGTTGGTTGAGGAGTGGGGTAGGGTAGTGGCCCGGGTGGAAAAATAATGACCAAACACCAACACCCGCCGCGGTGTCCCGGATGCACGTCAAAGGGGAGGGCAAGAAATAATACCTTCATAAATCTGACTGGTTGTATAATTGAAAACGACTCACACACCTATCTCGCTCACGCTCACACTTCTTCATTCACCCCCTACCCACCCCCCTCCAACATTCGAACTATATCTCTCTCTCACACACCATAAATAAATATACATATAATTTATAATATATACACTATATGCAAAACGCGAATATTGCCGAGGAATGTGTCCCGCGCGTTCGCTCCCTACTGCTTGTTGTATAGCGGACACCTAAATCGATATTTTGATAGTCCCTGTGCTATTCGCACAGCCTATATTATCTGTATTTCATATACGTGTTTACGTATACACATCACTGTGCACATATATTACATGTATATGCATTGATATGTGTACGTTATCGTATTATAGCTCATACGCAAATGTCCGGTTGTAAAAGTTAGCCGATTTTATAAGTGTGTGTGTGTGTGTGTGTGTGTGTGTGTGTGCGAATGGAGTACGATTCTTGTGCATATATTCACAATAATATAATAATATGCATTTAATCAAATCCATTTTAATATAGTTGGTATTGGATAGCATAAAATCAAAAGACTGCCGTCTATTTAAAATAATCAAAAAACATGGATAAAATATACTGCTGACAAGAACCGTGCTTTTAAGCACAGATTATATTGTTCTAGAATGTTTAAAATCATAAAAAAAACCGTACGTGAAGAAGTATTGACCCAATTTAAACATATAGGTATAGCTTTATTATGTAGTTATAGGTATCTAAGATTTTCTGCGTAACGTTATAGCATCGATGTGAATTAAAGAAATATTTATTGTGAGAGTGAATAACAACCGCAATCGAAATAATTTAACTAATCTATGATAATATATCCTACCTATACCACAAAACGGTTAAAACGTTTATTTTTAATATTTACAGATTCTGAAAACAGTTACCAATAAGAAAAACTTATTGACTGTATATAATATATTCAAACACACAAAATTAGCATAAACATTACCTACATAATTGAAGTAATAAAATTGCATAGGCCATGCTTTATTTTGTTTGAATCATTATCCTTTTAGAGGTGCCTATATGTACATAATAAAGTGTTTAATTGATATTATTTATAAACATATTATTCTAAATGACTCGATAAAAATAAAATACCCAATACAAATAGATAGTTAATGCATAATTGATAATAGTTGTACATATATATGTATAGGGTGATTCATCAAGTATTCTCGTCCCTATTTTTTTATATCTAATAATGAATTTATTCATATTTTGATTTTTAGAATCTCTAAATATCCTTAGACTTTATTATTAAAACCTTGTGACTTTTTTGTACAAGGTACTTAAGGGATGTCCTGTGGCGATATAAACTTTTGTTTTGTTCCAAATGAGGACCCTCTTTTTACTATAAATTATTTAGTGGAACTTTTTTTTTTGAAAATGTTTATGTACCTAATTCAAATGTGAACGAGTAGTTCCCAATTATTAATATGTTCATCTCAAAGATAACAGTCCTTAAAAATGGATTTACAAAATATAAAATTGGTGTGATATTGTATTTAGTATTTACTATACTTATTTATTTTAGTAAGTTTTGCAAAATTATAAATGTTGATAGATTAATATCAATGACTAAAATGTTAAAATCACCATATCCCCCTACATATACTAAACCCATTATCGTGAACATATTATCCTTACTACAGAAAGTTAAATAAATCAAAAACTACTCGTTGGAAATTTGATTTTAACACAGCAACATTTTCAGAAAATTATCGACTAAATAAATTACAGTAAGAAAAATAAATTTTCATTTGATGAACCGAAGTTTTTATCTTCACAAGGCAGTCTTTAGATTGAACAAACAATCTTAAGAATTTAAAATATGGTCTTGGCGTAAATATATTTAAAAATTCCAAAAATCAGATTTTGAATAATTGCATAATTTAAGAAAAAAAAGGATGAGCATGCTTAGTGAACCACCCTGTGTACATACATATGTAATGTACATTAAATTACTTGTCAATAAAAAATATTTTACAGCTAATAACTCTTTAAATTTGATCTCGTATTTTTCAAATTTCAACAACAATATTTAAAATTACAAATACTAATAATATTTTATTACCATATAATAAAATGACAAACATTGTATTTTATGTCCACGATGGACATATTATAACGCTATTTATTTTACCATCTTAAGCAATTAACGGTGACTATCATAGTTTTGTTTTAAATAATCATACATGTATGACAATAATCAAGAAAACATAAAACATTTTTATTTGAGTACATGGAATTTCAATACTATTATGTTTGCATGATTATTTTAACGTTCTACAATATACAAGCCTATATCAAGCGTTAATTTATTGATGGTTACATATTTTAATCCTATTAAAAGCTATCTCAACAATGGATCCATTATTTATAGTTGTTAACAGATTTGTTCATTTTAATTAATTAATCTGTTATAGTATGTGTTTCATAAGTGCACTTATTAGGTACTTTTCTTTGATTTGTACATAATAGGTTTAAGTTATATTATATAATAACAATAATAATAAGTAACTACTTGCTAATTTTTTAATTTGCTTGACTGCTTATGTATTAATATTAAATAGCTCATCAAATAAATCGTTGATTTAAAATTAAATGTTTAGATCGCATTAAAAAGTTTTATACGTGAAACCTACATCAATCTGATAGAATATCTTTCTCAACTGCCACCAAAACTTTATTTTAAATTGTCGTATACTCGTTACAAATTGTTATTTTTACTATAATAGTTATTACAGATTGCAGAAAGTTTTGAAATAAAAATATCAACTCTATTCGAAATTTTGATTGCATTCTTGATTTCGTGTAATATGATTTTAAAAAAATGTGTAAGTATGTATTATAAAATATAAATAAATATATAAATATATATAATACAAAAATAATTTAACATTATACATAACTATATAATTTAGAAAATATTTAATACTACTAGCTAGTAGCTATAATATATGATATCATATTATATTTGTTAATTGTTTCAAACAGAAATATGTCTTTTCAGGTAAAAAGTAAATATACACTCATCCATAATTTTAGATATTGGTTATGTCTCAAGGGAAAATCAAATTGATAATTATCGATTCAATCAAGTGAAATTCCGACTATAGTCATTAGGCTCGAACAAAGAAATCATCAAAATAAAAAGTGAAACGACATATCACAGTAAAAACACCATAACTATGAATATTTATGATTGAACTTTTCAATTAACGTCTGAAGAGTTGTGCAAGTATATGTACACACACACATACGCATAGTTCTATAGATAAAAAATAAAAATAGGTATATTTTTTAAGTATTGACCAAATGTCATACTATGAAGACAACACGATTTTATTCAAACATATACCTACGCACATAATAAGTAACAATTATTTTATCGAATAAATTAGTCAGCTGCAACTTGAATTTTTGGTTTGTGATTATTTCGAGGACAATATTTATTGAACACTTAAATTATATTTCTTGTGATAATCAATTATACTTTATCTACCTACAAAATTCAGACTGTAGTAGGTAACTACAATAAACTCAGCAATAGTACCTGTACAGATGTACATGTGAACCGCGTCGCCAGCATTGCCATAGAACTCTCAGGGGATTTATTTTAATTAATACCGACGGCGGCCATTAGTTAAATTGAATTGCCGCATTCAGAATTCCACAGAGCCTTTACATGGCAAAATAACGAAAGCCCAGTTTTGAAATCACGAAGACCCCCCCTCCTCCAACCCCATCACATTCCCACTATAATACCATTCACTGTCACTCGAACACTATCACGACCCTCCACTCTGACTCATTTAACTTGCTGTCACACAATTATTGTCATACTGTTACACCGTCCTATCGCGATTTTATATATACAAGCGACATCAGTATAATAATGGACCACGCTAAAATATATACGCCGAAGCA